TGCCTTTTATAGATAGAGATAAACTTGTTATTCTACATTTTCAGTTTTTATCCTTATGAAAATTTTAATAAATTATACATATAAGGGTGCCAAAGTTCAGCTTGCCTGGGGTGCCAGCAACCTTAGACTTGACACTGCCCAACAGTCACTGTCTGTTTGATGCTTAAAAACAACTGTCAGGCCTGATGATTGCATTTAAGCATGAAACAAACTGTTGCCTCTGGGTGTTGACTTCATTGCACATTGAGTGCTGGGATTAATAAAATAGTGCTCGATGTAGAAAAAGAGAGCTATAATTTATATATTAATAATAAATATTTTTTTTAAATTAAATTAAATTAATGAATTTAAAACAAAAACAGTATTTACTCTTAAATATAGTTCAATTAAGAAACTTACTTTTTGAGAATTTTAACAGGAAAAAGGTTTCTTTTTTTAAATTGACAACAATTTATTTCTTTTTAATTAAATACAAATATTCAATACAAAGTTATTTTCAATTAAGAAACTATTTTTTGAGAATTATGACAGAACAAAATTTTTGTTTTTAATTTATTCAATAATTATGAGTTTTTTTTTATTTATTTTATTTTATTTTATTTATTTTTATTTTTTAAATTGACAGGACAAAATAAAAATAAAATTAAAAAGAACAAACCAAGAAAATGTCTGGTAGGGCAACATTAATGTCTATTTCACACCACCCACACATCCCACACCCATTGAAGGAAAGAAAGAGTAAATGAAAGAAAAGAACTAGTAAAAAGTATTTGGAAGAATAATATCTTATGATTAATGCAGTGTTTATTTAAAATTGCAAAAACTATTGACCTCCCTACACTGTACCAACAGATACAAGAAAAAGACAATTTTTGAGCCCTGTTAAATGTTAATTTGAACAGTGGAGTGTTTACTCACTGTTATATACAAATGAAAATGTCTGACTGTTAAAACGTAGTTTTAAAAAGTACGTTAACAACAAATATACAAAATGTTTAAAAAATATAAAACTAAAAGGTACTTGTGTGTTTTAACACTGTTAGTGTTAACTGTACCCACTTTTTATAAAAAGCCAGATACGGTATTTAAAAAATTAAAATATTTTTTTTTTTAATTGACTTTCTTTTTTTTCAGACTACTTTAAACTTAATGAATCTTAAGAAACAAGTTAAATAGTCTATTTTTAACACAAATTTCAGAAAATTTAGTAATTTTGACAAGGTAGAAAAATTTGGTAACTATGAAATAAAAGTCGAATGAAAATTGTTTTTAGAGCCGTTCTGGAGTGGTGACTTGAGGGCTAAGCCCCACTCCCCTACATTTTTAAATAACTGACGCTTCTGAACTCTATCAAGACTGAAAAGTGAGGACTCGGCAGCTCCAACACAAATATGGCAGCAGTATTCCATTTTTGGTTTTATTGTTCCATTAGCAAGAAGTAAGTTCAATTGTATATTAAATAAAGACTGGATACCTGATGATTGCGTGTAAATGCATGAAACTAGCAGTCATGGCCAGTCACTGCCTACCCAGATTTTGATTTAATATTGAAGCTCTGCCATCGAGCACTTTTTCTGAGAGTAAGCAGCTTTGGGGAAAACTCTTTTACAGCTGCCCATCCTTTTCTAATATATATATATATATATATATATATATATATATATATATATATATATATATATATTCAGTTGTATGGTTATGAGTTTGTGACCCTGGGTTTCACACTTTTGCAATCATCAGACAAGGTCTGATAACTATCACTGATATTGAGCACTTTCCAATAAGTACTGCATATATAAAATAATATATATAGAAAATATATATAAATATTTCTAAATAAATACCTTATCTTATTTCGTTAAAAATAAAACTCATGTTTCCTTGTCATTAACCCTCTATACTTCATGCTTACAGAATGTAATATAATTTTATTCATTTATAAAAAAAAAAAAAAAACGTTTAAATTAAAACTTGTGAAACTTTTTTTTTTATTTTATTTTATTGGTGGGCGGCTACCAGTTTAATGTGTTAGCTGCTTCCATAATTATTAAGAATTCTATGAGAATACTTTACAGGAATTAAACGGTGATAAAAAGTTACATACACAACATAAGAGACCAATTGATTTGCGATACAAGGTAACATTTATTTAACAAAATAACAAAAGGAAAGTTTAAGACTTTCTTTTACTAGAAATTAATTGAATACTCCCCATTACACTTACACACACACGTATTTTGCATTGCAAATCAATTGATCTCTTATTTTGTGTATGTACCTTTTCACTACCATTAATCCATGTAAAATATTCTCATAGAAACCTTAATAATTATAAATGTAGCCAACATACTAAATCTGCATAATGTTGTGACTAAATTTTCTGTGTTTGTTTATCATTTTATAAATGTGTTCATATAACACATAAATGTTGTTTGTTAATAGTTCATGCAAGTTTTTTTTAACTAAAATCTAAGATGAAATATATAAATTTCTTACTCTGTTTGTTCTTGCCTTTAGATCTTTGTTTTTCACATTTAGCAATAATACAAATATCTTAAATTAAATTCCTTCAACTTTAATTTTTTCATTTAGTTTTCACTCTGAAACTTTATTTACTATTTATTTACACTATTTACATTATTTGGACTATTGTCCTCATCTTTGTCGCCATATTTATTACAACGTTTCTGTCGTTGTACGCTCCGGTCTTCTTCAGTTGGTTGGAATGCCGAACTGAACCCTTTATTTCACTCGCTGGGGTAGACGGTTCTAGTTCCACGTGCCATGTTTAATGGATGTTAGTTATCAGTTATCTCCTGTTAATTCCCCTCTCCAAGTTCTCCACCACCTTAACCAAGTATTGAATTCACACTCTCTGGGTCCTGTCACTGGATCTAACCAATGCCTTTATCCACTGTGCCATGTGTCCTTGAGGACATCTGTGTATGAATTTCTGGGTATTATAAACCTAATGTCATCAGCAACCATTTTTACCAGTGCTCATATTGTAATTTTTTGCTGTTATCATTGCATGTTTTTACCAGAGCTCATATTGCAATTTTGTTGTTATTATTGCTTTTCTCTGGAAGGCAGATACTATTTATTTGTTTTTTTTTCCTCATCAATAGGTGTAGATAGTTTTACATATTGTCTGTTTCACAATCCTTTCTGTTCTAGAGTTCAAATTCAAAATTTTTGAATTTGAAATCTAGAATACTGCATAATGAGGTCAACACCCAGTGGTAACACTCTGTTTCATGCTTAAATGCAATTGTCAGGACATTTAAGCAGGAAACAGACTGGGTGTTGACCTCAGTGTGTACTTTTATATTTACATATGCTCTAACCCTGATATCGAACCTTAAAATTATATTTTTAGGTGTGTGTGTGTGTGTGTGTGTGTAAAGACAAATTACGTATCAAAAGCGCATCCAAACAAGAAAAGCATTTTGAGTTCAATACAGGAAAAAACTTGCTATTAAAATCCTTATCTTGAGAAATTTGTTTTGCATTTCACTTCATTTTGTTTTTTTTTGACAAAACACCAATTCTTACATAAAGATAATCTGGTGGAGGCAAAGTGAGCTGATTATTTAAAAGATTTTTAAAAGGTTTTAATTGTTTTGAAATTTTGTAAAGATACAATATAAAAATTAAGAGTAGAGTCATCAATCACCAACAGGAATTTGGTATAAGAATTTAGTACAAGAATCCACTCTTTTGACTGATTGAAGAATTATACTCATCTTAGACTAGAGATAAATGAAATAAATTAGACATTCCTTTTCAATTTTTACCATCTTCAGAACAAGTATTTTTTTTGTTTTCTCTATGAAAAAATGAAAGGGATATTACATACACAGAGGCACAGATATTTAGACACACACACTGATACTTTGATTTTACACATACACAGAGGACATGATTTCTTGCATACACACACAGAGGCCATGTCTTCTTCTTGCATACATGCACACAGGCCATGATTTCTTGCATAAACACACAGAGGCCATGATTTCTTGCATAAACACACACACACAGACCAAAATTTCTTGCATACACACACAGACCAAGATTTCTTGCATACAAACACACACAGAGACCAAGATTTCTTGCATACAAACACACACAGAGACCAAGATTTCTTGCATACACACACAGAGGACATGATTTCTTGCATACACACACACACACAGACATACACACACAGAGGAAGATTTCTTGCATACACACACACACACAGAGACCAAGATTTCTTGCATACAAACACACACAGAGACCAAGATTTCTTGCATACACACACAGAGGACATGATTTCTTGCATACACACACACACAGACCAAGATTTCTTGCATACGCACACAGAGGACATGATTTCTTGCATACACACACACACACACACACACACAGACCAAGATTTCTTGCATACACACACAGAGGACATGATTTCTTGCATACACACACACACACACACACACAGACCAAGATTTCTTGCATACACACACAGAGGACATGATTTCTTGCATACACACACAGAGGACATGATTTCTTTCATACACATACAGAGGACATGATTTTTTGCATACACACACACATGCACCATGATTTCACACATCACAAACACATACAGATGCCATTGCACCCAAGAACCTTGATTTCTCTCACACACATCAGAAACACACACCTTTATTTTCTATCAAGATTATGATTTTCACCTTAACATGTTTAGCACCAAAGTACATTAACATTTTCACTATATTATCTGTTAAAAACCAAATTTTATAATTAGCCCCCTTTTTGAAATTTTCACCTTGTCTCCATGTTGTCCTCTTATGTTACTGTGACTAATAGTTGCCTTCCAGCAATTATTCTTACTCTCTAGAAATCCCCATTGTTCTATTTTTGGCTTATACTGTACATGTAAAAAAAATATGCAGGTGCTTGAGATGTTAAGATGAGTGTATAGTCTGCATAAACAGTTACATGAAAACCACACTTACCAGTTACTAGCAATTCAGCAGCCCTTCGGTCATTCTGGAGAGATGCTATGTGCAGTGGAGTTTTCTTGTACATATCCGCTTTATCAGGATCACAGCCTTTCTCAAGTAAAAATTCCAAAATGTCATGGTATCCTTAAAAATAAAACATAAATGAATATTAAAAAAGAGTTTCAATACATCAACATCTGCAGAGATTAGATAAAACAAGATGTTCAATTCAAGGAATTTGAACAATATACATAAACCAAATATAGAACAAACTTTTGAATTAAGGTAATAGAATACATGTCCATAAGGACATCTTCAAAGGTGACAGTTGCTAAGGGTTACAGCAGTGATACTCATATGGGAGACATTGGATTCCCAGGTGAGCAATTTTAAATCTAAGGAGCAGAATTTTAACAGAGGAAGAAATTGTTTAATAAATCAAATGTAGGTTTTATGGGGCATTGAAATAAGGATTTTTTTTTTTCATTTGATTCTAATTAATAAAGAAATCTGGTTTCAGAAATTATTTCAATCATTATTACTGTAAAAGTAAAACAATGAAAAAAAATATAAACTTTTTTTTTTCAAATCAAGTTCACCCCAAGCAAGGTAGTAAAGCCACTAAAACACAAGGGATTACTGGGTGTGGAAGAATTAGGAAACAGAAATATTACCAAAGAGCGAGAAAAATAGAAGAGTAACACAAAGGCAGTATATAGTGATTGACATTGCATTTAAATTTTTGAAAATCAAAGTTGGCTGGAAAGCATGAAGCCGGAAGAGAGTTCCACAACCAATATATATATATATAATATATATATATATATATATATATATATATATATATAAATTTAAAAATATACATACTTATACTTGATGTGAAAATAATTCTACATACTGTAAGGGATTCTAATACATTTACTTCTTATTAAAAGAAATATAGTATATTAAAAATTAAAATATTTTTCAAATCGTAGTTAAATAAAACATATTCTAACCTAAACACCCCCCAAAAATCTTTAAATATACAAATAGAAAAAAATGCCGTAATAATTTTTGCCGTTAACAATAAAATTTTTTTAAAAATCCAGATGACATGCATTTAACGGATGTCAGATTTCATTGAAAAATACATCCCTAGCCCTACCAAAACATAACTAATAACTAATACATCAAAATACAGACATAATGAACACACAAACACCCCTTGTCTGGTTGAATTGGATTTCTCTGTATCCTTGGAAACGTGAATTATAATTTTTGCTGTGTCTTTAAAACCCAGTAATTTTAAAAGTTACTCCAAAATTCGCTTGAGGATGAAATGGAACTAATGTGTTTAATTTAATTACAAAATTAAATTCGGAGCTTTGAGCTTCCATTTTTGAAACATGGTTAGAACTGTGTAGTGAAAAAAAACATATTTTAAATCAATTAATTTATAATATTAATGCTCTGTAAATTTACATTGAGCACTATTTTGTAAAAATAAAAATATCTATAAGAACACCGGATTATATATCTTACTGTTTTTTTTTTTTTATATATATATATATATATATACACACACACAAGCCTGTTTTGCTGTATCACAGCTCTTCAGTGTGGTTAGACATCCAATTGCTTCAAGCCAGGATCAAAACTCGATTGATTATACATCAGTCAGAGACTAACCCTAAGCCATCAGCACAAAGCTGAGAAAGAGAATCTTTTAATGTATTTTATACATGATTTATATAAATGCCAAATCAGCAGCTAGAGCACTCAATTCATAACTGAAGAGCTGTGTTTTATAAGCAGGAGCAGCTACACAAGGGGTTATTGGGTGTGGAAGAATTAGAAAACATAAATATTACTAAATGAGAACAATAGTAGAATATCCAGGAAGAAAGTAGATAGCGATTGACATTGCATTTAAATTTTTGAAAATCAAAGTTGGCTGGAAAGCATGGAGCTGGAAGAGAGTTCCAGAAGTGAAAAATACAAGAGAAGAAACAGTTAGCATAGAACTTATGTTTATATCAAGCCAATTCAACTGTAAATTGAAGAAACTTGTTGCCAATCTAGTACTTAAATTCATAATGTCTAGGTACCATCACGGAGAGTCCATCCAAACAATTACCATGAAACTTTATGGTGGTAGAAAAGGGACTGAAACTGAGATGCCAGCTCAGGATCAATAATATTGCTGATTTTTTTATTTTATCAAGAATCTCTAAATATAAAGCTGGAGCATCAGAGCATATGTGGCAGAAATATTCTAAGCATAGACAAATGGTAGGCTTATAAATGCAAGATAGATTCTGGAAAAACAACACAGTAAACCAACTTTCTTAACAGCTGACCTAGCAATGGATTCAATATAGTCTTTCCATTTCATGTCAGTTGAGAATGTAACGCCACGAAAATACAATGAGTCACTCTCCTGGATGTTAGCATCAGCCATGCTTGTCTGATTTTGACATTTGTTAATATTTTTTTTTAGGATTTCCTCAGTTGTTGTGTATCTGAAGTTCTGTTTTGGATTTTCTTTTAACAATTTGAATTGTAACTGTAACATGCCAGTTTTTCATATAGCAAAGTAGCTTTCTTTGCTATACTATACAGTACACTAAGCATCTTTATGCAGGCATCTTTTGTTATCTCAAATTTCTTTGCATACATTATCCATTAGGTAGAACTCTCTGGCTTTGCTGGGACTGCCCATGCAACAGAATACATTCTGGTAGAGACCCTAAAACTATATACAGGTTCCAGCCGATGAGTACTAATACCATCATCATTAAGTCTCATAGATGAGATTCATCTAGGTCTGGTAGTTTGAATCATGTGATGGTTAGGTCTCCTGGCTGATGCTCACTGGTACCTGGTCAGCCTCAATTCTTCAATTGTTGCTGCTCCAGTATGAAGCATTTAGTACCATGCAGGTTGGTCTGCAGACAGTTGTTTACATCAATCTGTATAATTTTCAGGTTCCTCATGATGCAGTCTTTATAGCCAGAGACTTTAACAACCTCGCCATTGCTTCCTGCAGTGTTGTTCACCATACAGAGCAATTTTCAGTAGTCAAGAGTTGTCCAAATGATATACATGCCTAGTCCACTGTTAATTGTTAATGTCGGCTCCATATAGGGCTCATTGGGAGCAGGTTGATAAAGGATTTCAGTGAGTACTAACAATTAGCTGATGTCATTAGCCACTGGTAGGCAAGTACTGTAGATTGCATTGTTCCATTTTAATTACTTTTTATTATTATTATTTAAGGTAGGGCAAAAGTAGGTATACAGTTGTTTAATTAATTACAGACATAACTATTTATTTTTTTATAGGTATTGTGAATAATGGCAAATAATTTGAGTCAAGAACAAAGAAAGTGGATTCTACAGCAGTATTGGAAGATTGAAAATACCGAGAAGCTGCACAAGACATGGAGAGAAGCATCCGACACTGATCCACCAATGCAGCTGACAATTTATCATATACAAAATAACTTTGAAAAAATGGATTCGTTGGTTAATGTACCAAAATCTGGATGTCCTAGGACCTCTATGAATGAAGAAAATGAGATGAGAGTCACTCTGAAATTTGTGAACAGTCCAAAAAAAGACAACAAGGCCTGCATCTCAGGAGCTATCCATATCAAGAATATCCCTGCAATGCCTTATGTGGAAATTGAAATTGAAACTGTACTGTTCACGATTGTTACAGGGTCTTCTGGTGGACAACCCAGACCATTGTAATTCTGTGAGAAGATGTGACCAAATCACTAATGAACAACCAGACATCTCTATCTATAAAAGGCAGGATGTGTGTGTGTGTGTGTGTGTGTGTGTAACAAATGCATGGCCGCAATTTTCAACAGATTTGCACCAAAATTTACATGCACATGCTCCAAGTTAGCAGGAAGGCCAAGACTGACTTTGCATTTCCCAACTCCCATCGATAATGGAAATAATTGATTTTTTCATGCTTCTACGGCAGTTTTCATATAGTTTGCGGACATTTTCTACTGGCCAGCGTGAGAGCCAACAGCTGACTGACACGAATGTTAACTAGCATGCTAGCATGCAAAAAAAAAAAAAAAAAAAAAAAATCGATAGCTGCATTCGTCACAAGTGGGAAAAATTTAAATCTGCATGGCACTTTACTCCAATTGGCTCATTCGCTTGCTTAAACTCAATGTTGATTCTGATTCCGCAGAACTGGGTTGGGTTGAAAAATATATTCTCGTTTCTAAATGGAGGCTAATAATAAGCAATAAAACTCTAAATATAAAAGCTTGATAAACTCTATTAATTATTAAGTACAGAAAATCTTTAAAAAATGTTTCATTACCTTTTAAGGTAGATTCATACACAGGAGTTACACCATATTTATTACAAACATCTTTCTGGCAGCCGGATTTTATAAGCATCTGAAAAAATATGAAAAAAGTATATTGAACCATGAAAAACGTTTTACTTCTGTGCCATCATAGTCATTGAATTTTCATATTTTTCTGACAATATCGGCAAAACTTACAAATAATTTTCACTACCTCTGTCCCATAATAGTTGGTATACTTGCCTATTTTTTATTTCATTATTGGCAACATTTATTAATCATTTTTATTACTTCTATCTAATAATGGTACACTTGCCTATTTTTTTCATTATTTGCAACACTTATTAAATGTTATATTTACATGGAATATTTTGAGGAAATTTTTTTTTTAATCATTTCACCCCAAGCAAGGCAGGAATGTCACTTGTATGCAGGGGGTTACAGAGAGTAAAAGGAAAAGAAAAAACTGGGAAAAGCAGGGATTGAGGAAAGGATAAAGGATGAACGGGATTCAAGACAACAGAAAATGGTGATTGACATTGCATTTAAATTTCTGAAGATTGTAGTTATCAGGAAAGCAAGTAAACAGAAAAGAGTTCCACAGGTGGGAAGTGCGAGAAAATAAACTGTTGGAGAAGTGGCGGTTACATTTCACTATTGCAACAGTAATAGGGTGGGACCTAGATGCCAATCTAGTAGCATGCTTAAATTCATGTAGTTAGGGCACCAGGGGAAAAAGCTCAAGAGTGCAGTTGCCATGAAAATATTTGTAGAAAAGACAGAGAGAAGCCACGTCACATCAGTGAGAAAGTGACTGAAGTTAAGATGCCTGATCAGGATCTATTACGCTGCAGATCCTTCTTTGGATTTTCTTAAGAACTAAAAGGTGAATAACAGGAACACTAGACCACATATGGCAACAGTATTCAATGCATGGATAAATGGCAGATTTGTAAATGTGCAAGATGGACTCTGATGAGAAAAAATTTCTGGCACAACACAGTGACCTTTCTTTCCTTGCAAAAGATGCAGATACTGATTTGATAAAGTCATTCCACTTCAAATCAGTTGAAAAAGTGAGGCTAAAAGGCACAGTGTCTAACACTTTCCATCCTCTGTCAGAACACTTCACAGATATTTAAATTTTAGCATCCCCAACCTGTAAATTGCATTTTGAGCTCTTCCTTTTGATGATGACCATGCATTCTGTTTTCTTGTAGTTTATGCTTAGTCCCTTCTTCTCACTTTCCTTTGCTACCTTCTGCAGGAGGTTTTGTAGTCTCCTTTCTGTGTCTATCAGCACTGTGTCATCTGCATATGTTGTTAAGATTGTGGTTGCCAGTGATGAATCCTGGTAGGACTCCTAGTTCTCTCAGAATTGCCTCACTGTATAGGTTGAATAAGTCTGGTGAGAAGACACAACCTTGCCTTACACCCCTTTCTATTTATGTATATCTGCTGAACTCATTTTTTATCAGCATGCAGGCAGTTTGCTGCCAGTAGAGATTTTTGATTATTCTGGTGCCTTTCCTGAATATGTCAAGGTTGCTGAGCAGCTCTAACAGATTTTCATGGCATACTTTGTCGAATGCCTTTATGTAGTCAATAAAACACAAGTAGACATTCTTCTGCATTTGTATTGATCTTTCTTGTTCTATCTCTTCCCTGATTCTGCTGCGTGCTCTATTCATCAGAATTCAGATAATGAGTTTTTTTTTATATGACTCATTAGGCTGTTCAGTGGTGTTCACATTCATTTGTGCCTGGTTTCTTAGGCAGTGCTATGAAAATAGAAATGCTTAGATCTTCTGGTATATCCCCACAGTTCTAGATTTCATTTATTATTTCTGTAATCTTGTCTATACTGAAATCATCTAAGGCTGCCAGTATCTCTATTACAATTCTGTCTGGCCTTGCTGCTTTGTTTCTGTTCAATTTGGCTAGTACTACTTCTATTTCAGCTTTTAGTATTTAAAAGTTACTGCATTTGAAGTCTTAAAAGATGCATTGGCATATTAGATACACTGTATTTGAATGTCATACTCAAGAAAGCAAGCTATTGTTACATTACAAAATGTTACAAAATCACTTGAGCTAGAGCAGAAAACCTCACTGTATATAAAAAGCAAGCTAGCAGTACAACTGAACATAAAGCAAGAAATCAAAATGTCAATACAACCACCTCTTCACCAATCATTCTTCTTTGCCCACTTTCAGGTGACAGCTTATGGCCATATCACATTGAACCATCAGTTCTTATACAATCACCAAAGTTAAGCAACATCAAGCCTGGTCATTACCTGGATGGATAATTGATTGGGAATACCAGGTACTGTAAGCTTGGATATGTGGCTGGTGTAAAGGATAAGGACTCAGAATTAGAAAACTAAGATATTAGTATTTCCAGCCCATTGGTATTACTGTGTATTGCTAGTTATTCTCTTTCATCATGGAAGAGTTCTCCAATATATTTGTTCCAGCACCAAAGAATTTTTTCTTTCTCTAATATGAGCATTCTGTCCTTGGATTTTATGCAACCTGTTGATGAGTGTGTCTTCTGTCCTCTTAGTCCCCTTATATGTTTATGCATATCTCATAGGTTTCTCAAATCTAGTAGGTATTATCATTCTTTCCAGTAGTGATGGGGGATTCCTTCCTAACTTTTGGGTTTTGGTTTGTTTTGTTTTATGGCATATCAACCTCAATGTGTTATTTAATGCTGACAAAATTTTTATTGTTGGTAATATTTTTTATCTATCTATATATCTATCTATCTCACTATATATTGGTTTGTTTTGTTTTATGGCATACCAACCTCAATGTGTTATTTAATGCCGACAAAATTTTTATTATCGGTAATATTTTTTCTTCAAAAAAATGTATTGCTGGTAATATTTTTTCTTTCAAAAATCTATTGCTGGTAATATTTTTTTCTAAAAATATATAGCTGGTATTTTTTTTTTTTTTTTCAAAAATCTAGAGCTGGTAATATCTTTTGTTTTCAAAAATGCATTGCTGGTAATAATTTTTTACAAAATATTTCTGGTATTAAAACCTATTTTTACATTTTCATAGTGTTTTAACCTCAGTTAAGGGGTTAACTATTTGCCTATAGATGGGACCCTAACAGGTGCTACCACCCGAGGTCAGGGTAGATCTGGGAACACCAACAATTAAGAGGTGATTCCACACCCTTCAAAACTCAGAGGCCTAGCTGTTGGACATAGTTTATTGTCATACCCAGGACAGTCTAACTTTTTGTTTATGGTAATTTGGTAAGTAAAGCTTACAGTCATAACACATTGAAACACCAGTTCTTGACAGATCACCAGAGTTAAGCTACATTGAGCCTGGTCAGTACCTACATAGGTGACTACTTGAGAATACTAGATGCTGTAAGCTAGGATGGGCAATGCGCAAATGGTGTAATGGATGATGGCTTGAAATGAGAAATCTAACATTCCTTTACACATAAATACCTTTGAGCAATGATGACTCAAAAAGAGATATGATCAGCTGTGTCACACTCACCTCCACCAATATACATTGTGCCAGTGCAGAAGGGTACTGGCTCATTTCTTCCCATGATCTTGGGAAGGCCTACATCCAATGAAGGATCTTTTCACAGGATAAGACGAAGGAAAGTCAACATCCTTATGTCATTATTTTCTCTTTCAACCACATGTGCTATCCATTTTAGTTGTTGCTGCCATTTTAAGTCTTCAAATGATGGAGTTTCTGTCATTTGGTAAAGTTCAAAAGCAAAAAGACAAACTCACCAAATGACTGTACAAATTGAAATGACATCTATTTCATTGGTTTTGTTTTTTTTTTCATTGTCAAAACAAAGACATTTACATATATAAATTACTGCAACAACTTAAATACACTGATCAGTCAAGCTGGACACCAATTTGATTATGATACAATGTAAAGAATGTTCTATTCAACTTTAGTTAACTTAGATGTGTTCTTTTTCAAAAAAGTTCCTCTTTTTAAAATTCATCACAATTGAACATCTCTGCAATACTATTCTACTAGATCAGTGTTTTTCAAACTTATTTTTACTAGGTTTATTTATTTAACATCAACAATTTATATGTATATTTCTTATGATGTGCACATAGCAGAAACATATTTATTTGTATGAATATAAAATTATCATTTTTAGAAAAACAAATTTAAAGGAAATTCCGTCACTTAGTCTGCAACAAGTTTGATGAACAAGATACATAAACTCAATAAGAACACACTATATATATATATATAAAGAAAAGAAAATATAATACGAGCTTACCTTGGTGAAAAACTAGTGCTGTGCAACATTTATAGGTATTTCTTTTGTACATTTTGCTCTCACTTGTGTATTTTTTTCTTTTTTGTCACATCCCATTTTATTTATCTCATGACCCACTGAACGATTGGGACATACAGTTTGAAAATCCCTGATTTAGGTAATCTCATTAAAACAGTTGTGAATATCAAGCCTGTCACATCCTCTTTGGAATTATCACACGGATTACCAAACTCTTCATTATCTTACTATATATATATATATATATATATATATATATATCTCCGATGTCATGAGAACAAAAGTAATATATAAATTCCAACGTTCACAGCATTAATCCAAAAGAGGGCCCGATACCGATAGTAGAGCGATAACCATTTTCGATTCTCACCCGTCAAAGTGCAGTTGAAATGCACTGAAACCAAGTTGCATCTTTGTAGTGAATAAAATGGTTTTTGTCTATATGATAAAATTATAATAAAAATATATATATATATATATATATATATATATATATATATATATATATATATATATATAGAGAGAGAGAGAGAGAGTATAAGAAAATATAATACAACCTTACCTTGGTGAAAAACTAGTGCTGTGCAATATTTGAGGTGTTTATATTCTACATTTTGCTCTCACTTGTGTATTTTTTTTTTTTTTTTCTTTTTTGTCACGTCCCATTTTATTTATCTTGTTACCCACTGAAGGGTTGGGTTGTACAGTTTGAATATGGTGAACATTTTGTGGAGACCCAAAAATATTTTTATCTTTTTTTAATGTTAATATGTTAT